GAAAGATATTAAATTCTCCTCTGATTTAATAATTATACACACAAATTTTTTTATACACAAGTAGAAAAATCATGCCAAAACATACTATTTGAATATTTAAAAAAAAAAAAAACACTAAGGTTCATCCAAGCAAACAGGAAAGAGAGACCAGAGAGAGTAAACTGGTGATTCAGTAGAGCTCTCTTCTGGTAAACCTTTATACAATGTTCAACAAGAGCTAGTCCTGAACTAAGAAATTCATTTGAATGTGGTCCTCAATCACATGCCCCTGTTACTATGGGAAGCCTGTAATCCCAGATCTTGGGAAGCTGGGGTAGGAATATTGAAAGAGAGATCAAGGCCACCTTGGGCCACAAAGCAAGACCTTGCTTGGCTCAGCGGGAAAACCATGCGGCTTCCTACACATCTGTAAAACTGCAACATTGTATCTCACACAAAACTAAATCCATCATCACTAAACCCCTTAAATAGGTGCTCACAGGATCACTGCACGGAGAAGAGATAAGGAAGCACAGGAGAGACTCAGAGTGCACTGAAGGGGACATTTTATTCAATACGTAAATCTGGCATTTTACTAGAGAATTACAAAAGGTGAAACTACTTGGCACAAAATTATTCTGATCACTCCATAAACCATCCTGGTATTTCTGCAGCACAAGATTCTGTGCTCGTCATTCACCTTTAGTCGTCTCAGCACGTACACACCATCACCAACATCAACTGCTGTGGGCTGGTATCCTCATATCATTAAAGGCTTAAATATAGCTTTTTATACATGAATTATGTATGCGGGCTGGTTATCTGGGAACCAAGACAGAAACATTTATCACGGATCAAGCCAATGAGAATATTTGTGCTTGCATTAAAATTTGGATTCTCTCCCACAATCCTGCAGGCTATGAGCTGAGGGTACCCTACGGCACTGCTTTGCAACAAGTAGACAACTTTGTAACAAGAAGACAACTGGTATAATGCAGGAGGGCTTGAGAAATCAACTCAATAGAGGTGAACTGGGTTCGAGGAGGAAAGGAGTTGGCTGAGGTGTTAGAAGGGGCCCAGAGCCTCACAGCAGGGCTCTGTGAGAAGCATAGTGAGGGGCATGGCAGGTTGGAGGACCACACACTGTGCACAGTGTAACCCCAAGAGTCGTCATCAGGAGCCTTGGCCATCAATCCAAAGAATTTGGATTCCACCTTGTGGGTGATAGGAGTTTCTTAGTAGTACACAAAAATCACTCTATAATCCACAGTGAATCAGGGGAGGAGAGAGGAGCTAGGCAGAGTGATTTAGAGTCCTCGAGCCAAGGAAGAAAGACAGACAACAGTGGTTTAGAGTTCATGTGGAAGCTGGACCGGGAATCTACTTATCTCACAAAACTTGCAAAGTAGATTTTCCTTCTTTAAGACGCATCGTTTCAGAGATTTTGAGTAAGGATAAAAGAAGAAACTGTCAAACTGACATGAAAATCTTTTCTATTGTAAGCAAGGAAGTTAAGATGCACTCGATACTCGGTAAACCACTAGAAATCTAGAAAGCTTTTTTTCAGAGCTAAGCTACCATACTAAAGGGAGAACTGACACACAAGCCGTGACTGAAATCTGGTTTTGGTATAAGAGCTAGAATTTATAAGAGAACAGCTTGGCAAAATGTGGCCATTGCAAAGTCAAGCCACCTACCCATATTATTGAGCCATTATTTTGGTTCTAGATGGTTCTCAACTGTCCTTTTATAGATTTGGGTGCTTTTCCCCAGCCTTAATATTCTTGTAGTGGGCTCTCTTCCCACTGCATTTATATAAAGCTCAGAGATGGGGCCCTATGAGAAGTAGGCAGAGTGAGGAGTCGGAAGGAGAAGACAGAAGAAGGAAGAGGAGGAGCTAGGAGGAGAGATGTGGGAGCCATGGAGGACCATGCTGTATCGAGAGCAGTCTTGGGTAACAACTTATATCTAGGTTAGTTAATTGGGTAACACCTCCAATTGTGTGGGCATTCTGTTAATTGAGCATTACCAAATATATAAAGCCTTTGGATAATAATTAAACTTCAGATTCTCATTTCTACCGGGTACCGCATGGATGGCGGGATGATCTGGGCTCAGCCAAGCACTGTGGCAACAGTTTGGGAGATTGGCAGAGTCATCTCCCACTCTGTCATCTCATGGGTGCCAGGCCCAGTGTTTCTGGCTGGCCTTTTCTAGCTGTGGCCCACGCGTGGCCTCTGGCTGTGGAACATGGCAGTAGAGCTAAGCAGAGCCACCTCCGCTAGTCGGCTCAAGAAAACGCCGTCCTAAATTTTAACAAGTGGCGCCCGACTCACTTGCCATAACTAGTACATTTTTTAAAAGTTCCTCAGATGGCTTACAAACACCTCTAGCCACTGACTACCCTCTCCAGCACTCCCTATCTATTTTGGAAACTCAGTCTCACGTTCACCACGCACCCTTAACTACTCCTACACAGATCACTACATCCAGCTCCACGCGTGTTCCATACTTGATGTGTGAGCCGACTAACGCTATGTTCCTGTGAATCTTCTGTGTCAACGACCTCCAGACCGCAGGAGCATGTCACCCTAGTGACCACACCCTAGAGAAATCACCGCTGAAGGATGGCTGTCATTCAGCCACGCCCACAAATGTCCTCATTTATTACTTCCACTTCACGTGAACTCTGGGGTGCTTGGTTTTCACCTAAATCTCCAAGCGCTTGCAGGCTCCTTCCAGACTGTTAGCGCCCTTCCTGCCCAGTCACGTGCCACCTCGCCAGCTTGTGTCTGCAAAGCGCATGTCTGAGCAATCCCCACCACGCTTTCAAATCACCATTGTTCCTAGTGGCTGAGCTCTGAAAAAGAAAATGCTGGGCAATTCAGACTGGCACCATTCACACTTGTAAGTGCATGTCCCCGGTGGCTCTCCATGATGATAGGCAACCTGTCCACCTATCCCTGGCCGACTGACCTCCCTCCAACAAGTCCTCCACACCTTGACCACATTCCCTAAAGTCTCTTATTATCCTACTACCTTTATTTTTGTTCTTTACAGTAAAGTGAGGGGTGTCAGATTGGGGGAGGTTCTCCTTCCTGCTCCTCCAACTCAGATACACCCACTTCCGCACCATCTTCACTCAGGCCCACATCTAAGGAACAGAGGTCCCTGCTTTTGTCACCTGTAAGGCTGTGGTTTCTTCCCATATTCTAAGGCCAAGGCCAAAGAGACCTTGAGAGAGGCAGTCAGATCAATTTGTTCTGTAGATACGTCTGTTCTGTCTAAATCGCACACCCGCAAGATCCCCTACTTTAACTTTTATCATTGCTGGGTATACTATACTTTTATTACCCCGTTGTTATCGTGCTGGTACAATACGCTTTTATTAAAGTCTCTTAGTGACTGGCCAGCTGCAGCACTCGTGTCTGATTTCATCCTCCCCACATATCAGCTTAACAAGTGTCGTACATTTGCCTGCTTAGCTCTGTCCTCCAGAAGATAAGCGTTTATGAGAGCAGAGGCTGTACCTATTACATGTTCTACCCTAGTGTCTGGTGTGTAATAAATAAATGTCTACCCTACTTCTTCACCAACCTCAATCAGGCAAGCAGAGGGAACCATACCTCACTGGATCAAAGTCGGTCTCTTCCCTGGGAGTGTGAACATGAGTAAAGCTAGTCTCACCAAGTGACTGTACACTGTCTCACTCATCCTGACAGACCACTTCACCCCAGAGTCCAAAGTGAATTTCCTCCTTGGTATCTGTGAAACGGCCCAGTATCCTTATATGGTTACTTATTCCTAAAGTTTTTCTTTACGTTTGTATATTTGATGTATATAGCAGTTTTGTCCAAATGTATAGCTGCACACCAGAAGAGGCTCCCATGGGACTACAGTCACAGAGGGTTGTGAGCCTCCCTGTGGATGCTGGGAATGCGTGAACAGCAGAGTCAGCCCTCTAGCACAGCAGTTCTCAACCTGGGGGTCGTATCTCCTTTGGGGGCTGCATATCGGATATGCTGCATATTAGACACTTACAATTCGCAGTGATGTACAGTAGCAGAATTACAGGTATGAAGTAGCAACAAGAATAATCTTATGGTTGGGGCTCACCACAGCATGAGGAATTGATTTAAAGGGTCACAGTGTCAGGCTGCAGCATGAGAATCTGTGCGCTAACACATAACTAGTTACTTTTTAACTTAAACTAACTTTTCTGATATTTATTACCAAGAGATTCCTTAATACTATTCTGTTCTTCTATATACTATACTATACAGGTTCCAAATAAACATCAGGAAGCCAAAGTTTTGGTGTAAGTTTTGTTTTGTTTTGTTTTGTTTTGTTTTGTTTTGTTTTGTTTTTCAATCTAAAAGAAATAGAAGTAAAGAAATGGCTGAGAAAGAAAGGTTTATTGCCACAAAGCATGGTGACCTGCGTTTAATTCTTTGAACCCACACAATGCAAGAAAAAAACCAATTCCTGTTAGTTGTACTCTGAACACACACATACATACACACACATGCGCATACATGCACACATATAACACACACATGCACACACACACACAGGAGCATATGCACGCATGTACACTACTAAATAAATAAATACAGGCAGGTATTCTTACGATGTTAAAAATGCTCTGTTCTGTTTATAATTTCACGTGCATATGTGTGCTCGTTTGTTTTTATGGCTAGTAGCTGAAATGCGTGTTGTCAGAAGGCGTTGTCTTTACAATCTGCACTCTTAACTCTACCACACTTAGGGCTATTTTCATGTCTTTTGGTTGCACACATTTTTAAGTGAAACCTGATACCAATTTCATTTCATGACCCTTTCCCTAATCATCAAGCACAGAGACAGTTAAAGAATCTACCTCGCTACAATATTCCAGAACACACTGAGCCAGGAGGACAAGCTGAAAGCATCTGGCACTGGACTTTGGAAATGGACAGCTCTGGCTCAGAGGACAGAAAGTCAAGAGCCAGCAGCATGGCAGCACATGGTACAGTACTTACCAAATAAACGCTGATGGAACAGGAACTTGCCAGCAATCAGTCCTATGAGAATGGCCAGTAGCCATAGAAGCACCTTCAAAATCCTCCAGCCAACTCCTCTAGGGTATTTATTTGTTACAAATGAAAAACAGTTTCCAACAACAATAACATTGGCTTCTGTTTGGCTGTGAGAGACTGGGTCCTCTGCGAATATCAAGAAGTTAAAGAAGATGACCAGGTAAGCCACGATCATGCGAGACCAAGGATGCTGGAAATAGTAGCGGAAGTCTTTACCCATCCTTCAAGCCTTCAGTGCTGCTTGACCTGTGTAAGGAAAGACACCAAGTTAGAGCCGAAGACGAGCCATTTCTCCGTTGTTCAGACCTATTCAGGCCTGCTGCACAAGAAGATAGGTGGGAAATACACCTGTTGCTGCCTATGGTACTAGGACAAGCCCCAAGCTGAAGAAAGTTAACTCTGTCCTCAATCCTAATCTATAGACAGGTTTTTCAAGACAGGGTTTTTCTGTGTAGCCCTGGCCATCCTGGAACTTGATCTGTAGATCAGGCTGGCCTGAAACTCAGAGATCTGTCTGCCTCTGCCTCCCAAGTGCTGGGATTAAAGACCCATGCCACCACCACCTGGCTTACTTTTGTCTCCTATCATTTGAGGACTAGTGAGCAGATAAAAGAGAAGAGAGGAAGGGACAAGAGAGGGAAGAACGATGTCCAAAGCTAAGGGGATAGCCATGCTTGAAAGCACACATCTGTAATCCCAACACTTGGGAGGTAAAAGTTGGAATTTTATTTGTTTAAGGCCAGCTTGAACTACATACCAAGTTTGACACCAGGCTGGCCTACACGAGACTGTTGTTTTGTTTTTTAATGAGATCGTGACTACGGCGACATAGAGTGGGAAGACAGTATAACATCTTCGTGATGCTTTTAGACGGTTTACTTTATGACAATACTACAAGGCCACTTAAAAGATCAAGTGATGCAGAAGTAAACTGAATACATATTAACAAACACTCTTCCCAAATCTGTCTCCTCACAGTGGTGATTAAGCAATTTGATGGATATGGGATATGCTTCCAAATCTATTTCTAGACATTGTCAAATGGGCATATGGGCAGAAAATTCCCTAAAATACCTTTACAGTCTGGTTAAATAATTTCAAGAAAGATTTAATATAGCCAAGTCTATACTAAGCATTTTCCCTGGAGTTGGGGGAGGGGTGGGCAGAACTGAACCACTGTGCTTCTGGGAAATATGACAAAAGAAAGCTTCCACAGAGAAAGACATGGCCAAGTCCAAGGTCCAGGCTAAGGAGGATGTTTCCCCAGGTAGAGATGGCCAGAGGTCCTCCTTCCCAGGTGGAGATGGCAGAGGTCCTCCTCCTCTTCCTCTTCCTCCTCTTCCTCCTCCTCCTCCACTTCCTCCTCCTCTCCTTCCTCCTCTTCCTCCTCCTCCTCTTCCTCCTCCTCTCCTTCCTCCTCTTCCTCCTCCTCCTCCTCTTCCTTCTCCTCTTCCTCCTCCTCCTCCTCCTCTTCCTCCTCCTCTTCCTTCTCCTCTTCCTCTTCCTCCTCCTCCTCCTCTTCCTCCTCCTCTCCTTCCTCCTCTTCCTCCTCCTTCTCCTCCTCCTCCTCCTCTTCTTCCTTCTCCTCTTCTTCCTCCTCCTCCTCTTCATTTGATTTCTTGGGACGAGATTTCCCCCATGTATGTAGCCCTAGCTGACCCGGAATTCTCTGTAGACCAGGCTGGCCTCAAACTCAAAGAGAACCACCTGCCCCTGCCTCCTGGGTACTGGGATTAAAGGTATGCACCACCTCCGCCCTGAGGGTTGCACCTTCTTCAGAGCTACCCACAAATCACTACACTGTAACTCCCACATTAGGCCTGCCTTAAATCCACTGGGTCTTGTGAGAGAAGCCTATGGCTACTGCTAACGTTCATTTTTGTCAACTGACTTGGCACTCGGACTCAGCTATATCTGTTTCTTTAGCCATAATAACTGTTTATATACCAAATAACAATAATAAGGGATATCATTTGACTCCCATTGACCAGCTCATTTTTCTTCTTTCACAATTTTTTTTAAATAAGTTCAGGAAAATTAAAACAACAACAAAAAAACCCCGAAACAACAACAACAAACCCTCTAAAGGAAGAAAGCCTCTAAAGGAAGTATCCACACAGCTGTGCGGTGTCTGCACGCATCATTAGTATGTCTGTTTTGGGACATAACAACCCTCTAAATGCTGTTATTACCACTGCCACCCCTTCATCTTACAGGGATGGGACTCAGGCTCTTAGAGTTTGTGAGTCGCCACAGAACTCTGGTCTGAGTCTCTGAAGTCTGAGCCCAGGGCATGACTACCAGCCCCAGGTCGAATTCAAGCACTTGCAGTGAGGGGCCAGGGCCAACCCCCAGGATGTCAGGCCTTGCATACTTCCTAGAGGTACATTCGTCTCTAGAGGCAACAGAACAAATTCTGTGACACATTCTACTATTCCTGAGAGTCAGGGGGTGTAAATGAAAAAATCCTTCACAGATCCTGAAACACTTGGAGAAGGCAAGGGCAGGAGAGCACTGATAAAGTTGTTGTAGTTGTTGTTGATGCTTTACACCTGACTGAAAGCATAACTATGACACACAGCCTGAAGTTCTTCAAAGTCAATGGAAGATCTGAGAATAGGCACCAAGGATCCAAAACCCCATACTCCTGGCTCATGAATGCCAACTAAAGCCGTAATCTAAATTAATGAAGATTTGGTACAACTCTTTTTTTAAAAGCAACATTAATATACACAGGGATGGGATTCGACCCACAAGCCCGCTAAGCAACATCAAGTCCCAGAAAATCTTCCTGAATGCTTAGCTCAGTAAAACCTGAACAGACTCCCGGGGTCTGTGACTCAGGATGCTTAAGAATGGTGACTTGCACATAGCAAAGCAAATGTTGTAGAACAAAAATAAATAATATAAATGTCTATGAGAATCTACTACCATTAGCCCACTGTTAATAAAGACTCACGCAGAGCTCCTGGAAGTGTCCAATACCACCACCACAGAGAAAGTCCCAAAACCTCATTCCAAAGAACCTGTGTTTTAATAGACTCCTACATACCTAGCAACACAGACACAGATGCAGGTGTCACCTAAGTCTTTCTTCTAGGTAACTATGCACCTCTCTTAACCAGTGATGATTCTGATGAGGTTGCCACCACAACCTCCTGTCTCTCCGCAGGTGCACAGGTGGGGACTGAGAACTCAGAGAATCAGCACAGGCCCTTGACTCTTGTTATTAAAATGAAATGCTCTGACTTGCATTGCTGTGGGTTTGGTTGTTTGTTTTTTTTTAACTTCGGAATCTTGCTTTGTGGGCATTATAAAGTCCACATGCCAGAGTCAAATGAGCACATTCAGAAATTTTTGGAGACAGCTGCTGCAACACTATTTTGGGAGACAGAACTACATACAGTGCTGAGCGGAAACCGTACTCCAGTGTATGATCTCAGTTAATTTCAAGCCATGCTATGAATGTTCCTCTCGATATCATGTTACAGATAAGGACGTGAAAGCTCCAAGCGCTTGCTACCCATTAACTCACAGACCCAACAAATGAAAAAGCCAAACTGTAATGCCCAGGTCTTGAATGACCTTTCTCTCTGATCAGTGCCGGAGACTGGTCCTACAATAAGCTCTGTCTTTTCTTCCAATAGTTCGGTGTCTTCGACCCTAGCAGGAAGAAGCAGGAGCCTGATATTGATCATTTCATCTCTGTATGAGAAACATTAGGATAGATTTACTGTTTTTCTTATATCCAGACGTTAAAATGGCACTTTCCAGTTCTCCAGCACCCACACAGTTACTTGAGTATCTCTGTTCATCCCTCTTCTATGGCTTTGAACACCAAGATGTCAGAAGTTTGTCTAGTTCTTGTGGCCCGGCTTTCTAGTTCTTTAGATACCCTGATACAATCCAGAGTGCCAGAAATATTTCCACCTCTGCAGTTCATAATCAGCATCTCCATGGACCACAGGTTCATGTTGACCCTGTTGTTAGCAATCTAAGATTGAGGTTCTCCAATAGACTACGCTACTAGGCACACGGTTTGCAAATATTTTGGTCTTTTGTTTGTTTGTTCATTTTGAATTCTAATCCTATAACTGTATGTGAGGATGCTGATATCTTTCCCCTTAGCAGTTCCTAGTGAAGTCATCCACTTACATGTTTAGCCCCTTCCCTTGAGCCTCCTTAGCAAGATCATAAGGGGCTATTTCCTTCCCGGGCAGAGCTTAGTGCTGAAGTAATAGTGGTTAGTCAATAGATGTGAACTGAATAAACTCAGTGGAACACTCAGACATACAAGAGCTCTCTCTTTGTCTAAGAAGACCCAACAGAGCCATGTGACAGTAGACATCTGCTAAGGAAAAGAGAAAAGGCAGGCAACCGACCCTAAGCCTGCAATGACGGCATAGCCCCTAACTACACTGACCTCACTCCTGGCTCACGCCATCCGCACCGGCTCTACGCTGAATTATCACTGCCATCACAAGTGGCTAACATTTACTGAGTACTCACAGGACACGAGACTGTATTGATGAGTTTTGCAAACATCATTAATAAACTGAATGGCTGCCCGGTAAGGAAAATACTCTTATTTTTTTCCTTTCACAAATACTGATGCTGGGACTGAGGGTTTAGTACCTTCCACAAACCGGAAAAGCTCATCAGAGGTATGGTAAATGTGGTCACACAGCTCCCATGCTTTACTCTGCCCAAAACTCTGTCCTTTGTGTGCAGGTTAGGAAATTTTCTAAAGGATTCACAATACTCCTAGGATGATAAGTCTATTTTTCCTAAGCAACATGAGTACATGGTAATGTGATCACAAAGGGCCTAGAGATTGTTAATTCTTCTTGTCCCTTGTTTCAGAACATCAGCATGAGTAGCTGAGTTGATCTGATGGTACTTTCAGAATGCACCGCTGAGGTTGTTCAGTCTGCCTCTCAGAGGGCAAAAACTCCACACCCCTATGGTGGCATTACCCCTCAGTAATGACAGTGGGGTAATTAATGCCACGGAAGCCTTTGGGTATACACAGAAGTTGTAATTGGAATATTGATGACTACAGGCTAAAATTGATCACTCATCAGCTTCTATAGTAGTTCCAACTCTAAAGAGATGCAGATTTATCCCAGATAACTAAAATGTCACATATTTTACCAAAATCCGGCATTCCAAAGGAGCATGAAGGAGAAGAGTAACGACCTCCAGATCAAAGGAGTTTGTAAGGAAAATGCTGTTGTATAGCCACTAAGTAGAGAACATGAGATCAAAGGCTTCCAAAGAGAAGACTGACACCGTCTACAGAGAAATGGTCAAGTCTGACTGTAATTCCAGAATAGCATTCATCTGTAATTTGTCCAACATCTACCACTCTTAGACACCCATGTGCTGAAGTTACATGCACATGGTCAATAGAAAATAAGCATTTAAAGATGGATGGATGGATGGATGGATGGATGGATGGATGGATGGATGGATAATGGTAGATGGATTGGTGGGTGGATGATGGATAGATGGGTAGATAATGGATAGATGGATGGATGGATGGATGGATGGATGGATGGATAGGTGGATGGGCAGGTGGGTGGATGGATGGTGCATGGGTGGATGGATGGGTAAATGGACAGATGGATGGATGGATGGATGGGTAGATGGATGGTGAATAACTGGAAGACAGATGGCTAACAGAGTAACCTTGGCTGACAGAAACATCCAAAGTTCCCATTCCAGAGCAAGTGGACCATGGATGAAGCTACTTATAAGGACCCTGTTTCAGGGCTTCTGATGGTTTTCTTGTAAGGGACAAATGTGAAACTCTTAAAAAGATAATACTTCTTTAAACTAAAAGAAAAAAGTAAAGTAGAGAAAGGTGACAGGGAGCACTGAAGGCCTCGGAGACCTAGTGTGCTTCAGGAAGTGCAGGGCATCTGAGGAAAGTAAGGAAGATAACAGGCCTGGTTCAGGCAGAGTGAAGCAGGGCCCTGACACTATCCCCTGCTGTCAGCAGGGCCAAACACTCTGCAGGAGGGCAAGGGGAAGAAGCAGAGACGCTCATGAGGAAGACAGATGCCCCATGACAGGTGGTGAGAGATAGTTTGAGGTCTATGCAGTTTACAAAGCTCTGCTTCTAGAAACATAATAAAACATAATAAAAGAAGCAGTGATGTTTACCGATGGAGGTGGACTGGATGTGGGGAGGGAGGGATGGTCAGGGCAAACATCTAGATGAAAGCGCCATTTCCTGAGCTGAAAAAACCTATTTCCTGAGATAAACAGAACTTCAGCAGATATAGAAAACGCAGTTGTTATTGATGTTTTCGTTATTTATGTATGTCGGGCTCAGAAAAAAAACTTATTTTTTTCTCACATATTATCTCGATTAGTCCTTATACCAACTATCTCGTAAGGACACACAGATTCAACGAGCCACAATCTGCCCAAGGTTGTGTTGGTGTCAATTGACACAAACAAGCATGCCTGCTTCTATGCAGCCCAGATGCACGTACCCCACGTACCCCAGTTAGCATTATGATCCCATCTACGACAGATGGGAAGATCCCAACCTACTAATCACTCAGCACTTTCTGATGGTGAGCAGAGGAACACAGAGACATGATAGACAGAGGGGTAACAGGCTGGGGAGAGAACGAGGATTTCTTTTCAGGGAGAGTTTGCAGTACTGGAGCATCTAACTTCATAAAAGGAAAGATGGAAGAAAAGTGGATAAGCCAGATCAGTATATATTTCCTGGACCAAATCTAGGTAAGGATGGGCCTCAAGAGAAATACAAGCCTTTACCTCAAACTGATAGATAAGTGGTCACATATGAGAGAAGTTCTTCGGGTGGAGGCAACCCTTGACTATCAAGATTCTGGGTTCCGTCCCTGTCACTTCCAAACCAAACAAGCAAACAGGAGGAGCAGAACACTTTGTATAACCCAGCATTCATGACAGGTTTTATCATGCAAACACCAATCACAGAAATACAACTGGGACTCCTGCTTTTCAAGCCACTCCAAAGACCACACAGCCTTTTAAATAAAGCACAGCCTTCTAAAGCAATCAATGTAACCACCTAAGTGCTTCTGGATAGGGATGGGGATGGTATCTGTGGTACCCAACTAATTTGCAGGATCGCATTTGTAAATCACATCCTTTCTCCTCCCATTGGATGAAAAGTTTGGTAATTTTCCTCTGGTGTCTTCTATCTGGCAGACCTCGGGACATCGATCAAAGCAAGTTTCTTTAACCCGGAACCCGAGAAAGAGCAAAGTTGGTTTGAAGGTCTTCCACAAAGACAGCTTCCCAATGTAATGGCAAGATGGGGGTGAGCCCATCCTATCGGGTTATAAAGTGGAGTCGTGACCATGGGACCCTTTAATAAGAAAGGCACAGACTGCCCTTTGGGCCATATGCTTGTCAAAGTCTTACTCCAAGACAGCAAAACTCAATGGACTAAAGTTCATTCAAGCCTGGAGTCACCTTTTAAGTGACTGGAAGTTTAAAGCAAATTAAGTAGGAATGATGGGTACTGGGTTTTTTGATCACAAGAATTATATGCAGAGTGGGAGTATGGTGATGAACAACTGAGTCAAAATCCCCAGTTGCTCTTAAACTACAAAGGTTGAGGGGCTAGAAAGATATTATATCCAGATAGACGGTGGATGGATGGATGGATAGAAAGATAGATAGATAGATAGATAGATAGATAGATAGATAGATGATAGATATAACAGAAATAGTTTTTACATAGATTTTACCAGTATATTCAGTAAATTAGAACTTGCTATAGAATACAAATCAAACCATAAAAGCATCCTAAACTGGAGTGGGGGCACCTCATATTTTACATACTTCACTTTGTTTACGTCCATACACTAATATCAAAGTAAGTCTCACACACACACACACACACACACACACACTGATGTTCCACAGAGGGTAGGACGAATCATAGCAGCCTAGATGTTCTCTCACGGGTCAAACACAGCCGCGGGCCTGTGGTATTTTTCAAAATAGAAATGGAAAACTAGTTTTTAATTCAGTCACGATGGAGTTCGCAAATACACAGGCCTTCCCTTTCCCTTCCTGAAAGGACGCGGAGGAAGTGCAACCTGTTTCTTTCCCCGGCAGCTGGGGGCTTGGGTCCCTGCGCCCCGGAATCGGTGGAGCGGGAAAGTTCGTGTTGCCCGCGGCCCGTCCCCCGGAGCCCCGGCCGGCTCGGTCCCCGCCCGGCTCCCGCGTCCCCGGCCCGCGGGAATGCGGGGCTGCGGGGCTGCGGGGCTCCGGCCTGCCTGCGCGCCCCGGGCTGCGGGCCGAGGGCTGCGGGCCGCGTACTTACCGGAGGGCGCGCGGCTCGGCCACCGCGGCGGACGCAGGACGAGCGGCGACACGGCCGCGGCGCGCTGCTGTCACCCGGCTATAAATACCGCGGCCCACGCCGCCGCCTACGCTGGCCGCCCTCGCCGCTCCCGCCGCGCCGCAGAGTCGGCCCCGGACCGCGCCGGGCACATGCCGCCCCGCCCGCCCGTCCGCCGGTCCGCCCGCCTGCCCGCCTGCCCGCCGCGCCTCTGCGGAGCCAGACCGGACCGGACCGGGCGGGGAAGGGCAGGGCAGGGCACCGCAGGGCACGGCAGGGCAGGCGCGCTGCGGCGGCCTAGGGAGAGCGCCACCCGGCCACGGCCTGCAGGAACCGCAGCAGCTGCACCCTGAGGGGAACCTGCGCCACGTCCACAGCGGGGGATGCTAACTTTCTAAGGTGGCCTTGGTCATACAGTATCCCCGC